AATGTGAGACCTGAAAATACAGTATCTGAAATCTTAAAATCTCACTGAGTGGGCTGGGGTTGTGGCTCAGCTTGCCTGGCACACATGAGGCACTGGATTTGATCCTCAGCACCACAAATAAATAAATAAATAAATAGATAGAATTATGTCCATCTACAACAAATTTTTTTAAATTAAAAAATTAGTATAACACCTGTGAAATAAATCCTGTCATCTGTATTTTATGAGTGAAAACTGAGACCCAGAGTGCTGAGTATGTTGTTAAAAATCACAGTTTAGTAAGTTAGCCAAGCTGGAGTTTTAAACTGGCTTTCTAGAATCTAAGCTTTCACTACTGTGCTATTCTTCTTGCAGAATAAGTAACTGATCATGCTGTTCTCACTCAAACATCTTAGCTTATTGCAAACACAACTGGGGTAACTTATATTCAGTCTCCTCTGTGAACTGACCCCATCTTTCTTATTTCCTTTTGTTTGTTCTATGCCAAACTGAATTCTTCTGTTATATAATTATTCATATACCTCTCAGTACTTTTTTTTCTTTTTTGGTACTGGGGATTGAACCCAGGGTGCTTTATCACTAAGCTATGTCCTCAGCCCTTTTTATCTTTTATTTTGATGCAGGTTCTCCTTAAGTTGCTTAGGGCTCCCCTGAGTGGTCGGAGCCTGACCCTGAACTTGTGATCCTCCTGAGTCAGCCTCCTGAGTCACTGGGATTAGAGGCATGTGCCACTATGTTCAGCCTTCCCAGTAATTTTTATCATTATAATTATCATCATCATCATCATTATTTTCCCTATTTATGTAAGACCAGTTCTCGTGCCTTGTTTTCCATTAAGTTACCTGTACTTATCTCCTCCTCATAGCATGTTCATAGCATGTTTTCTGAACTGTTCTGATGGCACCACTTAACGTTTTTTTTTTTTTTTTTTGTCTCCAGGTCTTGAAAAGTACATGCTTTCAAATATTTTTTCTCTATTAGGCTTTTCTTCAAGAGTATTTGTTGAGTAAATTAAGAGTAATGAGTAAATGTTACTCGGACTATTAAACACAAGATATTTGTATGTGCGGCTTTTTAGTGTAGTATTCCTCATTTCCATATGGTTCAATAGTTCATTACATTAATGCATTTTATATGTGTATATATATATATATATATATAGAGAGAGAGAGAGAGAGAGAGAGAGAGAAGAAGAACTGATGAAAATGTTTAGGATCTGAGGCTTTTTTTTTTAAGCAGTTTGTAAGGCTGGCTTAAATGACATTTCAATGATTTTCACATAATAAAATTTCTAATAGTGTTTTTTTTGTGGGGTCAGTACTAGGGATTGAGTCACATCTCCAGCCCAATTTTGTATTTTATTTAGACTGGGTCTCACTGAGTTGCTTAGTGCCTCATGGTTGCTGAGGCTGGCTTTGAACTCTGGATCCTCCCGTGCTGCTAGGATTACAGGAGTGAGCTACCGTGCCCGGCTCTAATAAAGATTTTTATTTGTTTATTTTTTTAAATCTCCCTGATGGTGTTTTGAAATTGGGAAAATGTGGGAAATACAAGTAGTGGTTTTTGGTGAAATAACTTCTTGGAACAGTACCTACAATTTAAATTTTTGTTTATATTTTAGAGGATTGAGTTAAACTTCTGTATTTTCTGTTACCTTGTTGATGCTTAAGGTGTTTTAAAAATGAGATGCGGGCTGCGGGTATAGCTTAGTTGGTAGAATGCTTGCCTTTCATGAATAAGGCCCTGGGTTCAATCCCCAGCACCACCAAAAAAAAAAAAAAAAAAAAAGAGAGAGAGAAAGAAAGAAAAAGAAATGGCAAGGGTTAAGAGGTTTTATTTTAATTGGGGGCGAAATGGGCACATGTTTGAATAAATAGGGTTTAAAAGTAATGCCTGGTGTCACACACCTATAATCTCAACAATCTGGGAGACTGAGACATGAGGATCACAAATTTGAGTCCAGTTTCAGCAGTTGAGCAATGCCCTAAGCAACGTTTTGAGACCCTGCCTCAAAATAAAAAGGGTTGGGTATATAGCTCAGTGGTAAACTGCCCCTTAAATACTAAGTAACCACCCTCCACACACCAAAAGTAATGAATGAATGTGGAGTCAAAAGAATCAAGTTACAGTATTCCTAAAGAACAATATTATTTATATAAAATTTTAAGACTTGCAAAGCAACACTATACCTTGTTAAAGAATATATACCCTTAGAGTGGAAATGTGCAAGAGAGCTGTAAACACCAAGTTCAAGATCATGGTTATCTTTAGAGGCAAGGAAGATGGGGGGACAGACTGAGGGAGAGATGCCAAGGAGTATCTACTGTGCTTGTGATATTTAGTTTATTTATTAATTTTTTTAATATTTAATTTTTAGTTGTAGTTGGACACAATATCTTTATTTTATTTATTTTTATGTGGTGCTGAAGATCGAATCCAGGGCCTCGCACGTGCTAGGCATGCGCTATACCGCTGAGCCACAACCCCAGTGCCCCCGTGATGTTTATTTTGTGTGTTTTGCAGTAGGTGGGTAGTTTTTTTTCCCTCTGTATCTTCTTGTCCATCTGAAATATATTATTTTAAGTTCAGATCTTATAGTTCCCTATCCATCCTTGACTTCCCCTACTCCTTAGTTTCTCTCCCAGAAGTAAACATTTTACTAGTTTATTGGAATCTTCCCAGAGATGTGTAGTAGACATGTATAAAAGAAAAAATATTAAATCCTCTTACAGATAAAAAGCTGAATCAATACGGAGTTAAGTAAGTCATTTACACAAGGCCATAATGCTAGTAAGTGTCAGAGGATTCAAACCCAATCTCTAGAGCTCAAATTTCTGGAGTCCAAACTTGTGTATAAATAAATCTTTCTCCCACTTTTCCAAATAACCAGCAGCTGGTGAGGCTAAGGCAGGAGGATCACTAGTTCAAAGCAAGCTTCAGCAACAGCAAGGTGCGAAGTAACTCAATGAGACCCTGTCTCTAAATAAAATACAAAAAAGGGCTGGGGATGTGGCTCCGTGGTTGAGTGCCCCTGAGTTCAACCCCTTGTACCCCTCCCCACAAAAATAAATAAAATTACCATCCATTCCTTTTATACAAATAGTCTTCTGTATACATTTTACACTATGCTAGATTTTATTTTACTAATAAGAATAAGCATTAATTTTGCTGTATCACATCTGCTTAGCCAGCAAAAAATTCGATTTTCTCTCTGATTCCTCTTTCCGAATACTCCCAAGGCTTCATAGGGGTGTTTTTATGTGCGATCCTTGTGTTTTCTTGGCTCTTCCAGTTTGTAAGTCATATTCACTCTGGAAGGTGGGGAGGAAGGAAATTTGGACTCTAGAGTTTGGGTTTGAATCTTCTGCTCTGCCATTTACTAGCAGTATGACCTTGGATAAGTGATTCAAGTCTGTTGATTTTTTTTTTTTTTTAATCTGTAGGAGGCATTTAGTATTATTTCTTTTAGAGTTGTATTAAGAATTAAATGAGTGGAAGGTGCCTAACACATAGAAAGCATGGTAAAATATCAGCTATTTTTATTATATTATTGATTATCAGCTGTCTACTGCTCAAACTATTGCCAGTCCCCAGACAGCTAATCCAGACCTCCACCATTGACCTCCTTTGACCTTGATCTATCTGGCTAGTGAGGAAACTTCATTCTCTTTTTCAGGATCTGCTCTTTCAAAGGGTGTTCTCTCAGTCACCTGGTGATGCCCTTTATAAGTACCAGAACACTTTGCACAGCTACAACAGAGAAGGTGGTGAAGAATATCCTTCCACGTGCCTAGAATGATGGCACTCCTGAATATCCTTATGCTCACAGTAGGCCTCTTGGCCAGAATTTTTCTTACAATTTCTTCCTTATGTAGGACTTTGTCCCTTGAGACTCATTTGTCTTATCCTGCCTTTCTTTTCTTCTTCCTCCTCCTCCTTCTTCCTCCTTCTTCTCTTCCTCCTCCTTCTTCTCCTCTTTACCACTGAGTTACATCCCCAGCCCTTTTATTTTTTTTAGTTATAGATGGACACAATACCTTTATTTATTTATTTATGTGGTGCTGAGGATCGAACCCAGTGCCTCACACATGCCAGACAAGTGTGCTATCACTGAGCCACAACCCCAGCCCCACTAACCCTTCTTTTTGACATGGGTTTTGCTAAGTTTCTTAGTGCCTAAGTTCCTGAGGTAGACCGAAAACTTGCCATCCTCCTGCCTCAGCCATCTGAATTTCTGGAATTATAGGCATGAGCTTCTGTACCTGACATCCATCCCTGCCTTTTTCTTACCTTCAGGCATATATGCTTATCTGTTGGGAGTCCAGTTGAGAAGAGATCAGGAGTTAGTTTCTTTCTCATGGGGCTCCTGGGCTCCCATGTAAAACAGGGGATGTGGCCTGACATCTTTAAGGGCTCCTAAACTTAGTGTTACTGATCATTCCCCACAAACATTTTAGAATAGTTGGGCAGCTATGTCCCCTGAGTGCCAGAGGATCCATAAGGAACAATGGCAGCTCTACCCCAGACAGTATTCCTTATGTTATTCACATTTATAGCTAACATTTGAATAGCAGTATCTATTGCAACATGATTTTCATGTAAGTTAGCTCATTTAACTCTGAGGCAGGGATAAGTATCTCATTTCCATTTTTCCTTTGAGGAAACTGAGCATTAGAAACATTATGGTTGCATAGATAGAAAAGAACAGAACTTCCTTTTGCTCATGCGTCATTCATATCAAGCTACCGTCTTACAAGGTGATCAAGGGCCTTGTTTACTGTTCAACAGAGTTTATATCAGTTATCATAATGGAGGAAATTAATATTAGCAAGGTTTGGGGTGAAATTAACAGGATTGGAAATCTATGATTTCATTTATATTTAGGTATCCTTGCTGCTCTGTAGGTTTGTGTCAACTGTAAACAGTTTTTATAACATATATATACACACACACACACACACACATACAAACATATATTTTTATATTGCTCTTTTTCTCAGAGCCACAATGGATACTGCTAGCCATAGCCTTGTCCTTCTGCAGCAGCTGAACATGCAGCGAGAATTTGGTTTTCTATGTGATTGCACAGTTGCTATTGGAGATGTTTACTTCAAAGCCCATAGAGCAGTGCTTGCTGCTTTTTCTAACTATTTCAAGATGATATTTATTCACCAAACAAGGTAAGGATGTGTTTTTGTATATTAGAAGAAGATTATGTATATTTCTCACATTACAATATTGAAAAAAGTATGTCTTATACTATCATTTTGTGTGCTATCATTATAGTGAGACCCCCTTTTTCTTGGTACTGGATCATCATGTATTATCTATCATTTTATCAGTATACTATCGTTATACTCAATTATACATTTTTATCTAAATGTTCATTCATTCAAATATATTAAGCAATTTTATATTTGTCTTATATATCAGTAATTAAACTCAATATGTAATAGATCTGTGGTGGAAGGTTAGAATGAAATTATAACTTAAATGTATTGAAGGCTTATCCCATATTGAAGTGCTAAATCTTATAACATAATTCTACAGTTATCCCTATATTAGAGAAAAAAACAAACTGAGTTGGTAAGATCGAGTTGCTCAGCCAGGATTATATAGCTAATATGTTAGACTCAGGTGCAGATCTATCTGAAACTAAAGGTCTATGCTCTCTTTTTAAAAAATATTTTTAGTTATAGACGGATATAATAACTTATTTAACTTATTTTTTTATGTGGTGCTGAGGATCGAACCCAGTGCCTCACATGTGCTAGGCAAGCACTGTACCACTGAGCCATAAGCCCTGCTCAGGTCTTTGCTCTTAATCAATAAGTTGTTGATTTCTATTTTATGATACTTTCATAGCAAGATTTTGGTGTCATAATTCTACCTACCATGAACTCCATATTACAATTCAAAGGTCTTTTGTTTAAAATATTTTTTCAAAGACTTCCTTTGTGTTTTTTGAATTTATATACAAGACAAATTTAGATATTCAGATTACGGGATTGAGGGATACTGGGGATTGAACCCAGAAGTGCTTTACCACTAAGCCTCATCCTAGTGGTTTTTTATTTATTTTTTTGAGAAGTGGTCTCACCAAATTGCTTAGGGCCTTGATAAATGCTGAGACTGGCCTCAAACTTGCATCACCTTGCCTCACCCTTCCAAGTCACTGGGATTACAGGCGTGCACCACTGCACCCAATTTAGATATTCAAATTTGAAGCTCTGAATAGAGAGTAATTTTAGTCCATTCTAGATTAAAAGTGATTCAGCAGTCTGTTTTTCTTTAAAGAACCTTACATAAATACTTAGGAATCCAACCTCAATTATACATTTGTATCCAAATGTTCATTCATTCAAATATATATTCATTATTTGTTGATGTGTTGGCACAGGCCTATAATCTCAATGACTCAAGAGACTGAGGTAGGATTTGAGGCCAGCTTCAACAACTTAGTGAGACCTTGTCTCTGAATGAAATAAAAAGCTCTCGAGACGTAGCTAAGTGGGTACCACTGTATTCAATCCCTAATACCAAAAACAAAAAACAAAAAAACCAAGCCTGCACGTTATATATATTAAGTACCTATGTGCCAGGCACTTAACTAGACCCCAGTAAGTGAAGTTATACACCCTGCCCTCAAGAAATTTGTAGTCTTGGGAAAAAAAAAAAAAGTCCTATAGATAATGCATGTAAAACAAATCATTACAATGTAATTTACTTCTCTATACCTCTCTTCTGTCTTGCCTGTAAAGTTTTAGAATAGAATGATCACCCCCTGGGGTATTTGAGGAGATTAAATAGATCAATATAGATTAAAATGCTTAAAACAAGAGCTTTGTTGTTACTAATAATACAATGTCTATCATAGAAGAGTGTACAAGGTAAAATAGTATTTCAGCAGCCGTATTGTGAAGAGACTTTACAGAGGTCCTAAATCTTGAAAGATCAGGAATTATTCAGATAGAGAGGTGTATAAGAAGGTATGTAGCAGATAGAAGGGGGGAAAAACAGCATGAAAACGTATATATATACACACACACATACATACATACACACACATACATACACACACATACATACATACACACATACATATACATACACATACATGCACATATATGTATATGTGTGTATATATGTATATACATATGAACATTCAGACATTCTGAGTAGATCAGAATGATTGGAATTCATGGCACAATAGGGAGAGCAAGTTGGAGTGTAGAACAAGTAACAGGCAGCTTTTTCTGCCAGTCTAAGGAGTTTCTTCTCTGACCTAAGTGTCACAGTAGATTGCTTTCACTGCTTTAGAAGTGGCACTTTGTCTTCAGTCTCCTGAGAGCCATGAATTGGTTCAGCCCCTAAAGTACATGTTGTGTGCCAGGTGCAATGCTAAACTGAACCTAGGAATTATGAAGGTTGCAGACCTGCTCTGTATTGAGCAACTAAAGAAGCCCCTCAGTTAATAGAGTTCTTAACTGGTATTAAAAAAAAAGAACTTGCCACAGGCCATGTCATTGGGTAGCTAGGTCAGAACAAAGAATGAAGACCAAGAGAGGAAGAGGGAATACTGAGATATCAGGACTAAAGAAATGTATTGCAAGCATACTGACACCCAGTGCATTCTAATGCATTGACAGTGAGCTTCTGCTTCCGAAAGGTAAGTCCATTGACTGATTTCCATTTTCCCTTCATATTCAACAGTTTCCCTTAGGTTGTCTCTTTTCCAATTTTATAGGGATTTCCTGATCTCTTTTTTACTGTTATTTCCATCTGTTAACTAAATTCTAGATTCATATCTAAGAATCAGGTTTAGGATTACCTTAATTAAAGTTTTCCAGAATTGTACCTATGTTCATTTGAGATTTAAAGAATAGAATATTAATGTATTTTGGAAGCCAAAATAAGGTTAACATAATTTACATTTTAAATATTACCAATTTCAATAGACTTTTTAAAATTTTAAAATATTTTTATTGTGTATGGAGATGGTACATATCACTTCTATGTGTATGTATATCACCATTTTAACCATTTTTAATTAAACAATTCAGTGGTAGTAATTACATTCACAATGTTGTACAATCATCACTGCTATTTACAAAACTTTTTCATCACCCTAAACAGCTTGTTGTAACTTCCAATTTCTGTGTTTGAATTTGCCTATTCTAGGTATTTCATGTAAGTGGCATCATATAATAGTTGTCTTTTTGTGTCTGGCTAATATTACTTAACATAATGGTTTTAGGGTTCATGCTTGTTATAGTCTGTATCAGAACATTATTCCTTTATATGGCCGAATAATCTGTTGTAAGTATAAAGCTGCATATTGTTTATCTATTCATCTTTTGATGAGCACTTCAATTGTTTACACCTTTTGGCTACACTGAATAATGCTGCAGTGAACATTGGCATGCAGGTATCTGAGTCCCTATGTCAGTTCTCTTGGTTATATACTCAATAGACTGTTAAATTCCTTAAGAACAGAACGTCTATCTTACTCATCATTTTTCTACCTCCTGGCATCTAGTATAGTATTTATCACTTAAGAGTCATTGATTAATGTCCAACTAATCAGAGTATTGGGTCTGCATTTCCTAACTTTAGCCAGTAGATGAAATATATGAAGGCTTAATGTTAGACCATAAAATTGGTGTAAAAGGAAGTGTAAGCTTTTGTTGTAGTGTTTTATCAAGACAGATTGCTAAATTAATTTGTACTTTGTAAGAAGAAACTGCTTTAGACTAAGATTGCTGTTAACTGAAAGGCCAACTAGATTGTGTTTTCATTTTGCATGGTGTTCTCTCTCTCTCTCAACAGTGAATGCATAAAAATCCAACCAACCGACATTCAACCTGACATATTCAGCTATTTGTTACATATTATGTACACGGGGAAAGGGCCAAAACAGATTGTGGATCATAGTCGTTTGGAGGAAGGGATTCGATTTCTTCATGCCGACTACCTTTCTCACATTGCAACTGAAATGAATCAAGTGTTCTCACCAGAGACTGTGCAGTCCTCAAACTTGTATGGCATTCAGATTTCAACAACCCAAAAAACAACTGTGAAACAAGGGCTGGAGGTCAAGGAAACTCCTTCCAATAACAATGGAAACAGAGCTGCTGTCCAGGGTGACCACCCTCAGTTGCAGCTGTCTCTTGCTATTGGGCTTGATGATGGCACTGCAGACCAGCAGAGAGTTCATCCTGCTGCCCAGGCCTTGGAGGAGCACCAGAAACCCCCAGTGTCCATCAAGCAGGAGAGATGTGATCCAGAATCTGTGGTCCCCCAGAGCCACCCCTCACCCTCATCAGAGGTAACAGGTCTCTCTTTTACAGAAAACAGTGTCAAAATACATTTATGCCATTACTGTGGGGAACGTTTTGATTCCCGTAGTAACTTAAGACAACATCTCCATACCCATGTGTCTGGATCCCTTCCATTTGGTGTCCCTGCTTCCATTCTGGAAAGTAATGATCTTGGAGAAGTACATCCACTTAATGAAAATAGCGAAGTTCTTGAATGTCACAGGCTCAGTTCCTTTATTGTCAAGGAGAATGAGCAGCAGCCTGAACACTCAAATCGTGGTACCACAGAGCCTTTGCAGATTAGTCAAGTATCTTTGATCTCCAAAGATACAGAGCCAGTAGAATTAAACTGTAATTTTTCTTTTTCAAGGAAAAGAAAAATCAGTTGTACCATCTGTGGTCATAAATTTCTTAGAAAGAGTCAATTGCTGGAACACATGTATACACACAAAGGTAAATCTTACAGATATAACCGATGCCAAAGGTTTGGTAATGCATTGGCCCAGAGATTTCAGCCATACTGTGACAACTGGTCTGATGTACCTGTGAAAAGTTCTCGCTTATCACAAGAACACTTGGACTTGCCTTGTGCCTTAGAGTCAGAGCTCACACAAGAAAATGTTGACACTATCCTTGTTGAATAGCAACTCCTCCTACAGAATTTTTATACCAATCCTGAAAAAAAAAAAATTCATGTGGTATTTTTTATTTATGAATTATTTTCCTTCTCAAGTGCTTGACTTTTTTTGTAATCCAGTTTTTAAGGTTGTATATATTAGGTCTTACAAGACATATATTAGTACATGCCTATTAAAATGTAACCTTCAGTTAATCCTATGAACTTCTCATAAATTAAATCTCAGTTTAGAAATCAGAAATCAGTGTGGAAATTTATAGAAACTTAGATGGATATTTATAGAATCTAAGTTTTTCCAGGTTTCAGAATCAGTAAAATAAAATAGAATATGAAATCTGTTTTAAAGAATATTCTAGGGCCTGGGGATATAGCTCATTGGTAGAGTGCTTGCCTAACATGTGCAAGGCCCTAGGTTCAATCCCCAGCACTGCTAAAAATAATATTCTAAACTATTATTCATGGCTTATGTTTCATATGAATTTAGTCCCTATGAGGATTATTTTAAAATATTTTCTGCCATGTAGGAAATTAGTAGCTATTTTAATACATAATTATCAATAATACATATATTTGTCTTTTTAGAATCTTTTTTTCCCCACTTTTTTTTATTGGTGCATTAGAGTTGTGCATAATGATGGAATTTGTTGTTACATATTCATACATGCACACAATATAACAATATAATTTGGCCAGTATCACTCCCTAGCACTACTTCCTTACCATCTCCCACCCCTTAGTTCTTTTCCTCTACTGATCTCCCTTTGACTTCCATGAGATCTGCCCCAGCCTTTCTTTTCCTTTTTCTTCTCTAGCTTATGCGTATGAGAGAAAACATAAGTCCCTTGACCTTCTGAGTTTGACTTTACTTAACGTAATGACATCTAGTTCCATCCATTTTCCTTCAAATTACATAATGTAATTTTTCTTTATGACTGAAATATGTAGTATATAGGATTAAGACGTGGCTATACTGAATCATGAGTAATTTTGTTGTTGTTGGGTATTTTTGTTTTTGTTTTTTGGTACCGGGGATTGAACCCAGGGGCACTTAACCACTGAGCCACATTCCCAACCCTTTTTTTTGAGACAAGGTCTTGCAAAATTGCAAAAGCTGGCCTCGAATTTGCAATCCTCCTGACTTAGCTTCGCAAGCCACTGGGATTAAGGAGTGTGCCATGCCTGACTTGTTGTTGGTTTTTTTTTTTTTTCTTCTTTCTTTTTTTTTTTTTTGTGTGTGTGTGTGTGGTACTGGGGATGGAACCCAGGGCATCTGTCACTGAACTACATCCCCATCCTTTTTTTTTTTTTAAGACAAGGTCTCCCTCTGATTCCAAGGCTGGCCTTGAACTTGTGATCCTGCTTCAGTTTCATACGTAGCTGGGTTTACTACAGGTGTGTGTCACCATACCCAGCAAAATTTTACTAGCTTTGCAACATCTTTTATTTACTAAACATTGAGTATAGCTCTTTTAAAAAATATATTTCATTTAAAAGAGTAGTCAGGAGGGCTGGGGTTGTGGCTCAGCGGTACCGCTCTCCTAGCACATGCGAGGCCCTGGGTTCGATCCTCAGCACCCATATAGAAGTAAATAAAATAGAGGTATTGTGTTTAACTAGAACTAAAAATAAAAAATAAAAAGAGGAGTCAGATTAAAAAATAATCTTAAAGAGAAATACATAAGCAGATCTACCTTAATCTCTGTTTTTATATGCTTAACTAATACCCTGGGGTTGTAACCTTCATCCCAAGCATTAAGAACAATTTGAGATATTTCTGAACATAGATTTACATGAGTTTAAAGACAAAAGTGATGAAATACAAATCATCTTTCTACCCTCTTCTGTCAGGATTTTCTAGGCTATGTGGGTTAATGTTCGTTTTCTAAAAATCACTTGACATGTTTTAGAGGCATAATGGTCACTTTTTCTGTTCCTAAAACAAGAAAAGTAGATAAATTCAGTAATCTAGAACCACATTGAAAATCTTTGATGGTAGCTTTCCCTGTGTGAATAACTTAGTTTCCTTTTATAATGGTGATATAAAGCTAAAATCCCAGAAAAATTAAAGTTTGTAGAATAAGTGATAGATACTGCTGCTCTCTATACCTGAGAATCATCTGGTCAGATTTCACCATAAAAGATAGATTTAAATTGTTTCTGAAGAATTTAAATTTCAAGTACTAATAGTGAAGAATAATAGAGGAGAACTGGGGTTGTGGCTCAGTGGCAGAGTGCTTGCCTTGCATGTGTGAGGCACTGGGTTCGAGCCTCAGCACCACATAAAAATAAACAAATAAAATAAAGGCATGCTGTCCATCTACCACTATCAAAAAAAAAAAAAAAAAGCACTGGATTTATTTAAAAAAAAAACAGAAGAGACTCCAAACAGTCTCATCATTTTTGTGTATTGCCCTATTAAATTCTAAGCCTCACAGACATTTGAAGAACATTTGAGAGTTCCTACTCTTATTTTTATTTATTTATTTTTTCCTTTTGAGATGGGATTTTGCTCTGGTTTCCCAGGCTAGCTTTGACTTCCTTGGCTCAAGTGGTCCTCCCGTTTTAACATCCTGAGTAGCTAGCCAGGACTACAGACATATGCCACCGTGCTTCAGCCTTACAGACATTTGAATATATCTCATAAAATTGATTTGTAAGACTTGGAATTTAACCACATTCAAAAAATCTTTGAGCTCCTTCCTAACTGCACACTTCTTAGGACATTTGGTGACGTACTCAACAATCTTGATATTCAATCAGGAGTGAGCTCAGAATAATCCACGTAATAAGAACACAAAGATTTTCTCTAGGTAAACAGTTTAGGTAAAATTACAAAGTGTTAACTTTTTCTTGAGGTCTGAATGAAGAATACTTCTAGGCATTGTATAAGGCAGTTGAATTTCTGCTGAAGGTGAGAAAAACCTCTTGGTGTCAAGAATGATCTGTGCTGAGAGCAAATTTCTTTGTTAATATGATCAATTGTATTGGGAATTGTTAAAAACAAATGTGTTGCTCTTTGGATTCAGAACTTCATCTAATCTTAAATTTTTTTTTACTAATTCACATAAACAATTACTCAAACTTATACTGCCCTTCAAGATTTCAACTCACAAGAAGAACACAAATATTAACACTGATTTTATGTATTTTGGGCTATTTGTGATATATTCTGTGATCTTCTATGTATTTTGGGCTATTTGTGATATATTCTGTGATCTTCTTAAAGTAAATTTTTATTCTCATTAAGTTTTCTTATAGCTGATTAGCTATGCTAGACAATACTTTAAAATTAAAGTACAAATAAATCTATGTGAGTGTTAAGATGATAGTGGTCAACTGGATTTCTGTTCTTATACTTTCTTTTTAATATTAAGAATTCAAAGCATTGGGGTGTTGTGGTACACACTGTAACCCCACTAACCCCAATTACTCAGAACGCTGCAGCAGGGGCATTACAAGTTTAAAGCCTGTTTGTGTGATATAGCAAGATCCCATCTCAAAAAAAAAAAAAAAAAAAAGCAAGCAAGCAGATGCTCTTTCCTTGGTCCTTTGTTTTTTTTCCCCCTTGGTCCTTTAATATTCTGTCTTACAATGTGGAAAGTGTTGTTGACTTCATTTTATTGGGAAAAAAAAATCCCAAAAGCTGAATTCCAGAGAACCAGAAACTTTTTTTTTCTTTTTTCATTCATCAGGCATTTTTAAAATAACTGTCATAAGCCTAACACTGGGCCCTGAGAGTTTTTTTTTTTTTTTTTTTGTACAGGGGATTGAACTCAGGGGTACTTGACCACTGAGCCATATCCCCAGCCCAATTTGGTATTTTATTAGAGACAGGTCTCACTGAATTGCTTAGCATCTCACCATTGCTGAGGCTAGCTTTAAACTTGGGATCCTCCTGTCTCAGCCTCCTGAGCAGCTGTGATTACAGGCGTGCACCACCGTGCCTGGCTGGTTTTTTGTTTTCTTTAAGACATGATTCCTCACTAAAATTTTAAAGTTCTTGTATGTAAAGCCTTTTGTTATGACTGTATCATCTGCAAAATAGAACTATGCTTTTAGAAAGTATTCTAATAATGTAGGTTTGCTTAATGATTATCATTCTTAAAACTGGAAATGCCATGTGTTTTTTCATCTGTATATCAGGCAAATACTAACTAGGCATTTTCCCCATGGGTCAGCTTTAAATTTTCTCTTCTTTTCAAATCCTACATATAGTTTTTTTCTTAGGAAAAAAAATAGACAATTTCAGTATTTGTCCTTATGAGTGTATTATCAAAACTTAATGTCTAATAAGTAGTCTGCCTTATAAGAAAACCAAAATTCTTGATCTATAATTTTTGAGATTGTTCTTTCTCGCTCTGGCTTTCTGATTTCCTACCTGTAAAATAAGTACAAGTAATACCTACCTCATAGAGGTGTTGTGAGGATTTGTATTAAAGTTGTGTTAAATTCTGTTAGTATTAATGATTAAAAACCAACCATAAAGAGAAAACTACATTTATTCTGTGACTAAAAATATTAACCAATATTTCAGCTTATAAATTCTAGAACACGTTAGAAGCAGTCGTGTACTATTTAATATTCAATAATTAATTGACAAAACTCATTTTTTACAAATAACAAAATTGCTTGAATTCTTATTCTACTGTAATTATAACAATTTCTCTTTAGCCTTCAGCAGATAGACTTTTGGCATTATTGGGAATAAAATCTTGCCAATTTCAGCTTTATTAGAAGTTTCTCCAAATGTGTTGTTTTCACATAGGAAATGGAACAAAGACAATGAAGAAATAACCATTCATTTTTTTGATGAAGATGATTTTAATAGTAAATAGGAATAGAAAATGGAGTAAGGATATTACATGGTACTTCATTAATATTACTTTAAAATAGTATTAAAATAATTTTCACTAAAAACTGAAGGAAATATATATTATGGAAAAAGATAATCTGGAGAGTGTATAACTCCATTAAAATTTATTTGTACAGGCAAATGTTTGATGTTGTAACTCAGATTCTTGATGATCAATATCTATTTTTTTTGTAGTAATTGAAGTAAAAATAGGCCATGTCAGAGTTTTCATAATGTAACTTG